CTAAATCTAAAGATTGAGTACGCACTTTCTATATAATTGCTATAATTACAGGGTATATTGAAAACTAAGGTAAAGTCAATTTGGCATTCGTGACTCGTCTGGTCTGCAGCACTCGTGTCCATATAATTTCCAACATAGAAATATCGCACAACAAGTGCAAATGCAATTAGTTCCAAGCTTTATTTGTTTAAGCGAATGCCGACACACACACACACACACACATAAACACACGCTTACGCATACATCTGGATTTTCTTTGGAACTTGCAACAGGTAGTCGCGACTCTCGGCCTGTTTGTGGTATCAGTTGGCAGCCTTATAATTGCCCAGATTATTTCTCTCCTATTTGGCCTGCTCAGCTTATTAAGATTTCTAAAATGTTTGCCTCAACTCGAATGGCAACAGTAGCAGCTGCTGTCCCAATGGCAGCAGCAGCAGCAGCAGCAACAGCGGCAACCGCTCGTTGCCTTTAAATGTGCGCTTGTAATCGATAATTGCCTATCGATTAATGCTCGCGATTCGGGAACAATGCCAAAATGAAATCGCGACCGCTCAGTGGCGCCGCCATGCTAATTACACGTTCAGATATGGCAACTGCAATTTGTCGTTCTCTCTCCCTCTCCCACTAACTCTCTTCCCCGCTCACGCCCGCTGCATACTTTTGGGCTGGCATCTAAATTGTGTGTGTGTGAAGAAGTTCTATTTATGTCGAAAATGGTGCTCCTCCTTATAAATGTAGGCATTGCGTCTGCTATAGCCGGGTATTACGATGCCAGTTATAGCCGACTTGTGGTTGGGAAAAACTACATTTATCGTTGCATTTACTATTATATATTTATATTTAGGTTTAAGTATATGCTAATATGTTGTAGCGTCGAGAAGTGTGAAACCCATATATAAGCTAAGTAGATCTGTGTAGCAGTTGTCGTTAGTCGTTGGTTGAATACTACAAAAATGGATTAAGGGTATATCCTAGTCAGGCACTTCTAATAATTTCATGCCGTGTCATTATGTTTAATATTTTTAAATTCATTCTTTTTCTAATGTACATAACATTTCATAAAGTAAGTAGGGGATACTGTTAACAGTAATCTAGTTGTTAAAGTTTGAGTTTATATCTCTAAAACGGTAAAAAACACGCCCCATTGAACGTATATGTATCCGACATATCTTTCTGACCTTGTATTCTCAACCCGAATGGAATTGGTAGTATATATCTTGGGTGCTTTATCTATCATCGCTTCTGAGATTCAAAATAATGCATTTTCCGATTTCCTACGCCCTTAAGGGGACAGACAGAAAGAGGGACATTGCAAAAAAAAAAAACAATACACTCATTTTACTGTGGTGAATGAGTATACAAGAGCAAATTATATACCAAAGTACTATACAACCATAAAATAAATAGTCTGATATCGTTTTGAGGCACCCAAATGAAACAAACATTGATTTTTCATTTTTGTTATATTTTTATTGTAACTCAATTTGAGAAATTTAATCAAATCGGAACAGTTCAGATCAAACATATATTTTTCAATTAAGTTTTTGTTTATTGTTTTCCGCTTTGTGCTGCACTCAACTTAGTTTCGTTCTATTGTGAATGCATAGATAATAAATGCTCTAAAATGTACATGATCATATTTGCTGGGGCTGTTGTTCAAGTAGTACGAATATATACATGTATACATCGAGTCATATACAAAGCACACGCTTGACTATGTATATATACATATATAGATATAGATATATGTAACCGCTAATGTTGTTCATATGGCAAAGATTTAAGATATTTRTGTAGCCCTATTTAAACTAAACATATATAACTCGATATCAACCGGAACAACAGCCAACAACAGATCAAATTTTTCAAAAGTACAAAATTACATATATATATAAATGTAAAAAAAAAATAGTTAAAATTTAAATATTTAAAATAATACAAAAATACATATACAGGCACACACAATTTACAAAATAGTAAAAAAATAAACATTGATTGCTTATGGAATAGATAATATAACATATGGTATCATATAGCTAGCTATACACATATAGGAGCATATATAGTTAGTTACTCAAGCTTACAATCGACTCTTCTAATCCTAATGTATATAATTTTCTTTTCGATATTTGTGTTTTGTTAAAGTCAAATTATCAAATTATCGAATAGCTCTAGTTATACCTGAAACTTAAGATTAAACGCTCTGTTGTTTTGGTCTAAGTTGGCATTGGCCTGGAAGGGGCGTGGCACACGCTTGTTCGCTTCAGACTGTTGTTGTTGCCAAGAAATAATAATATTGTAGACAAATCACATCCAGCACATCACAGGCAGAATTTTTTATAAATTTTATATATATAGTATGTATATATGTATGTATGTCTAGTAATATATACGCTTGTATTTATACCTGAAACTTAAGATTAAACGCTCTGTTG